TTAGAGGTTTATTGACTTAATTTTTTCAGAGAATCAGCTTTTGGTTTCATAGGTTTTTCTCTATTGATATCCTGTGTTTGATTTCATTGATTTCTACTCTAATTTGTATTGTTTCTTCTTTTGTGTTGCTTTAGATTTTTATTCTTTCGCTAGTTTCCTAAGGTAGACACATATTGATTTTAGATCTCATACTTCTAATATAGGCTTTTAATGCCATAAATGCCCCTCTAAGTGCTGCCTTCACTGCATCCCACAAATTTAAGTTGTAGTTTTATTTTCATTGAGTTCAATGTATTTCTAAATTTCTTGAGAGTTCTTTGATCCAAGTGTTATATATTAGTGTGTTGTTTAATCTCTGAGTATTGTGGAATTTGAATTTTCTAGCTATCATTTTTTTTTTTTTTTTTTGAGATGAGTCTTGCTATGTTGCCCAAGCTGGTCTCAAGTTCCTGGACTCTAGTGATTCTCCCACCTCAGTCATCAAAGTAGCTGGAAATATAGGTGCATGCCACTGTGCCTGGTTAATATCTTCCTGCTATTAATTTCTTGTTCAATTTCATAATAGTCAAAGAGTATACACTGTAGGATTTCTATTCTTTAAGATTTGTTAAGGTGGTTTTTTTTATGGCCCAGAATATGGTCTATTTGGGTAAATGTTCTGGGTGAGCTTGAGAAGAATGTGTATTCTGCTATTATACGAAGACGTCTACAGATGCCAATTAGATCTAGTTGATGGTGCTGTGTAATTCAACTGTGTCCTTAATGATTTTCTGCCTGCGGCATCTGTCAATTATTAATAGAGGGGTGATGACATCTGCTATTATAATAGTGGATTCCTTGACTTCTCCTTGCAGTTCTATCATTTTTGCCTGATATATTTTGCCACTTTGTTGTTAGGTGGATATGCATTAAGGATTATTATTTCTTCTTGGAGAACTGACCTCTTTTTGTTTGATGGTCCTCTTTATCTCGAATTTTCCTTGCTGTGAAGTCTTTTTCTTTTTGAGTTGGAGTCTCACTCCTTTGCCCAGGCTATAGTGCAGTGGCATGCATGCTCACAGCCACTCCAGTGTCAACCTGCTGTGCTACTGCGATCCTTCCACCTCAGCCTTCCAAGTAGCCGGAACGACAGACGTGTGTTACCACACCTGGCTATTTTTTATTTTACTGTAGCGATGAGGTCTTATCAAGTTGCCCAGGCTGGTCTCGAACCCACGGGCTCAGGCAATTCACTCACCTTGACCTCCCAAAGTGCTGAGATTACAGACTGAACCACCGAGCCTGGTCTTTTAAAAAAAAAAAATTAATACAGCAATAACAGGTTTCTTTTGATAAGTGTTAGCATGATTCATCTTTCTTTATCCCTTTACTTTTAGTCTGTCTGTATTTTTAAATTTAAGGTTGTTTTCTTATAGTCTGTTTTTTTAAAATCCATGTTCAGTCTCTTTCAACTGGTGTCTCGAGATCATTGACATTTACAATGATTATTGATATAGCTGAATTAATATCTACCATATTTGTTACTGTTTTCTATTTGCTGCTTTTTTTTCCTTTTTTGTCTCTATTCTTTTTCTGGTAGAGAACTGACCTCTTTTTGTGTGATGCTCCTCTTTATCTCAAATTTTCTGTGCTGTGAAGTCTTTTTTTTTTGAGTTGGAGTGGCTAGACTCTCTGGTTTCAAGTTAAGCATTTAATATGATTCCATTTTTTTGTCCTCTTTTAGCAAATCAACTATATTTTTTTTCCACTTTTTAAAATGACTGCTTCTAAATTTGCAGTATACTTTTATAAGTAATCCAAGTTCTCTTACAAATAACATCACGCCACCTCATGGGTAATGCGTGTAACTTACAAAAGAATATTTCCAGTTTCTACCTCCCATACCTTAAACACTGCTGTCATTTATTTCCATTAGTTGTGATGACCATATTATTTAGACATAAGCTATAATTACTGAATATGAGTTATTATTATTATTTTTATTCAGCTGCTTTTATATGAATTAAGGTTAAAAAATATTTTACCTCCATTAATTCCTTCTCTAATGTTCTTCCTTTCTTTATGCAGGTTCAAATTTCTGACATATTTTTTCCTTCTTTTTTGAATAATTTCTTCAGTATTTCTTGCAAAGCAGGTCTACTGGCAACAAAATCTTATTTTTGTTTAAGAAAGTCTTTACTTCTCATTCATTTTTGAAGGATAATTTCTCTAGATACAGTATTCTAGGCTTTTTTGTTCTTTTACTACTTTATTTTACTCTGCTCTCTTCTTGCTTCTATGGTTTCTGAAGAGAAGTCTGGTGTAATTCCTATCCTTGCTCCACTATACATAAAGTTTCTTTTTTCCCTCTGGTTTCTCTCAAGAATTTTCTTTCTTTGACTTCCTGAAGTTTACATATGACATGCCTATGTGTAGATTTTTTAGGTATTTATCCTGCTTCGTGTTATTTTGCTGCTGTAGTTTTAGATTTCAAATTAACTTAGATAAAAGAGGAAATTCAGTTCCCCGGTTGCACTAGCCAAATTTTAGGTGCTCAGTAGCCACATGTGGCTTAGCATCTGCCACATTGGAGAGCCAGGCCCAGACAGTAAAGGAAAGGGGCTCAATCAAGGCCTCCCAATAGTGGGTGGCCTGCAGAGAGCATCTTCCAGAATGGCACTGACACCTGAGACTCCCTGGTGCTCCTACCCACCTCTCTGCCTCTGCTGTTACAACTCACTCCCCCTTCTTAGAGTGCCCCTCTTCTCTGCCCTCAAATAATCTGTATCTTAACTTTTTTCCTCTGGCTTGCCTTCAGTCTCATCTACTCATAACACCTTCTTTGGTGGAGAGGGAGAATGTGTTTCATTTTATTCCCTTTAAGAAACATGAACTGAGCCTACTGTCACCATGTAAAGATCCTTCACATCACTGAACACTTGTGATTTGCAAACTCAGTATCACATCTGATATTAATTTTTTTTTTTTGAGTTGGAATCTCACTCTGTCGCCCAGACTGGAGTGCAGTGGCCGCTCTCGGCCACTGCAGCCTCGATCTGCTGGGCTCCAGCGATCCTTCTGCCTCAGCCTTCCGAGTAGCTGGAACTACAGGTGCGCGCTACCACGCCCGGCTAAATTTTTGACTTACTGTAGAGATGAGGTCTTGCCAAGTTGCCCAGGCGGGTCTTGAACCCGCGGGCTCAGGCAATCCACTCACCTCAGCCTCCCAAGGCGCGGGATTACAAGCTGAGCCACCGAGCCCGGCTCACATCTGATATTATAAAAAGTATTAATGAAACTGAACATAGTGTTACCAACATTTTATTCTACCAAGTAAGAAAATTCAAAGCAGGGACAACTGTCTACTGCTAACATCTCATAAACTAAATAACATTCTAAGAGTGCTCTCTTCCTCCCTAAAAATGAGGGAAACCAAATGAAGTTTTGCCTTTTTTATCCCTTCCTCATTTGGCCTTGGAAGATGAAAACTACCTCTGACCTTCAGTAAGACACATCTAGGAACCACTGTTCCACATAGGTCCAAACCTAGTATTTGTTGATCTCTTTTCCACTTCAACCTCTTTTATTTGTATTACTTTTTCTCCCTCCTATATGTTCCCTACTAGTTGTATGATCTTGGGCAAGTTATTCAACATCTCTGGTCTACATTTTCTATCTTGTGAAGTTGCTAAAAGGATTAAGTAAGTTAACACATATGCCTAAGACTTTTGGATATCTCATTATAGTTCAAGGCTGGCATGTTCTGGAGTGCCCTGGATGAGGTTGGTCTAGGACTTGGCATAAGGTTGAGCCTTTAAAGGGACAGAAGTGAAGCAGGATAAGAATACAATTAAAGTGATGGAAGTGAAGCAGAATAAGAATATAAGATCCAAAAGCCTACTGCCTTCTGTCCAGAGCATGACATTCTGCTCTTTCCGGTTCACTCCACAGGCCCTTGCTTTCATTCAAAACAAAAGCCTGTCTGGGAAAGGTCCGGGAATCAACTCTGTCATAAATAAAGAAATGGATGAAGCCCATCTTAAGAACATGAATACTGAGATGCAGCAAGGAGCCTCAAGTCTTAAAAGGTGGAGGAGCTGGAGAAAGTCAGAGGGGCCCTGAGAACCTCCTGTATACTGCACGGCCACTCATTTTCCTTGTCTGAGGCACAAGTGATGCTTGGCATATAACAAGCCACAAAGCCACCCATAGGAACATATGCAAAAAAGTGGAGCTTGGGGTCAAAAATGTTGAAACTGACCTCAAAAGGTTACCTTTGTTTCCCTGGGTTTCATAATTTCACTTTTTTAAACATTGCACTTTTAAAAATATTGCATAATCAACTTTATTGTTGACTGGGAAAACTGTAAGGACAGACAAGTTTAAATTGTGCACAAAGAAGGTAAGATTAAGGAATACTGACTTGTTGGAGATACTCATTTTTATATTTTGCTCCAGACTGTTATTTCCTAAGAAATCCTCCTGCAAAGAGGAGCCCCAAGGGCTGAAGTTACCCTCTAGAAATGTTTTGTTTGGCCTGCAACATTAAAAAGAATTCTTTTGAAGTTAAAATATTTTAAAGTTTTACATTAAGAAATCTATTTCCAACGTCTCTGTAAAAGTTATGAGATTATGTGGCACTGGGCTTAAAGTGACACAAAAGCAGCTGGCTCTAAGTTGGTCTCCATTAAAAGAGCTGTGTTCTTCAATTCGCGATCCCCCGCCATTCACAGAATGCCTGTCTCTGTTCCAGTATCCACGGACTACCAGCTGGTTTGGAAGGAGCTTCAGCCAGTCACCTACATGGGGTCAGGCGGCCTGCCCCGCTCACTTTCAAGCCAAGACCTGACGGGAATGACTTGGGGCGAATCACGGCCTCCAAGCCTCAGTTTCCTCGCCTGTGAAATGGGGCTGACGACGCGCAGCTGCGGGAAGGACCGCGACGGAGCGTGCGGAGGCCCGGCCCAAACCCGGAGCTGGGGGGCACGGGTGCCA